CGCTGTACTGTTCCTCGCAGTACATATTGCGGCCGATAGCAGATAGCACGAAAGCATTAATGTTGCATCTCCTCAGCAAACTTGTGAATGCTTAATCGTTGCCATCAGTCCTAGTGCCCTGTGCGACACTGCGCCCGAAGCATAACTTCAAGCCTCCGTGGTTGACCTTGACTACCGTCTTCTCGTACCTAGAAGACCCGATCTCGTAACCAGCACAGCACAATTCCGCAATCGGATCCTGCTTAAGTTGTACCATGCCCCTCCGACTTCGGAACATATCGGAACCTGGGTCGGCTGCGCCACGGTTCGCTGGTCCCGCTGCGGCTGCCGCTACGGCCACTGCCGGAAAGGAACTGCTTGGCGGTACTGGCCACGCGCGCTGGAACCCGTGGAGCGAACCACGGGCTCCGCTACCATGGAAGTATTGTAGAAACCAGTTTCCCTGGAGGCAGATTGGACTTGAGCCGATCCGTTGCGGCCAACGACTAACATGCAACACTGGAATCCAAAAATTGATAAGAAATCCTGCTTACCCAATCGGAACGATGTAACAGAACAGTTCCTCGTCCTCCTCCTCTTCCCTCTCCTCCTCCTTCTCCTCCTCCTCTTCCACCTCCTTCTCATCATACGCCTCCACATCCTCCTCCTTTTCCTCCACCACATATTCTTCTTCCTCCTCCTCCTCCTCCTCCTCCTCCTCCTCCTCCTCCTCCTCTGCCTCCCCCTCCTCCTCCGCCTTTCCCTCTTCTATTCATCCTCCTCCTCCTCCTCCTCCTCCTCCTCCTCCTCCTCCACCACCTCCACCTCCACCTCCTCCTCCTCCTCTTCCTCCTCCTCCTTCCCGCAACATCGCCTGTGCCCTCCGCACGTCTCTGTTCGGCACACCCCTCGCACGCTTCGTGGCCCCATTGGGAGCTCAACCGGATGCCCCAGTGGTAGCGCCCGCATGGCACCACCGCGCCGAATTCGGCACACCCCTCACACGTTTGGTGGCCCCATAGGGAGCTTCATCATCATCATCATCTCATCATCATCATCATCATCATCATCATCATCATCATCATCATCATCATCATCATCATCATCATCATCATCATCATCATCATCATCATCATCATCATCATCATCATCATCATCATCATCATCATCATCATCATCATCATCATCATCATCAGCATCATCATCATCATCAGCATCAGCATCAGCATCATCATCGTCGCCATCATCATCATCATCATCATCATCATCATCATCATCATCATCATCATCATCATCATCATCATCATCATCATCATCATCATCATCATCATCATCATCATCATCATCATCATCATCATCATCATCATCATCATCATCATCATCATCATCCCCCTCCTCGCCCTCCTACTCCCCTTTGTCCTCGACCTGCTTCTCCTCCTCCCTCTTCTGCCCTTTCTCCTCCTCCTCCTCCTCTCCTCCTCCTTCTCCTCCTCCTCCGCCTCCTCCTGCTCCTCCTCCTCCTCCTCGTCCTGGTCCGCCTGACGATCATCATCCACTCATCATCCACCCCTCATGAATCCATCATAAACTCATCATCATCATCATCATCATCATCATCATCATCATCATCATCATCAGCATCATCATCATCATCATCACCACCATCATCATCATCATCATCATCATCATCATCATCATCATCATAATAATCATCATCACCACCATCATCATCATCATCATCATCATCAGCATCAGCCGCAGCAGCATAATCATCATCATCATCAGCATCATCATCTTCATCAGCCTCATCACCATCACCATCACCATCATGATTATCATCATAATCATCATCATCATCATCATCGTCATCATCATCATCATCACCATCAGCATCATCATCATCGTCATCAACATCATCATCATCATCATCATCACCATCATCATCAGTAGCATCATCCTCATAATCATCATCATCATCATCATCATCATTATCATCATCACACTCATCATGATCATCATCATCATCATCAGCATCGTCAACAGCATCAGCAACATCATGATCATCGTCATCAGCAGCATCATCATCGTCGTCGTTATCATAGTCATCATCATCGGCATCATGAGCATGATCATAATCATCATCATCAGCATCAGCATCATCATCGTCACCATCAGCATCAGCATCGTCGTCGTCATCCTCATAATTATAATCATCATCGTCAACGCATCATCATCAGCATCAGCATCATCATCATCATCAGCATCATCATCGTCGTCGTTATCAGCATCATCATCATCAGCATCGTCGTCAACAGCATCATCATCGGCGTCACCGTAATCGTCACCGTCGTCATCACCATCATCAGCAGCACCACCACCACCATCACTATCATCATCATCGCCATCATCACCAACAAGACCATCATCGCCATCAGCATCCCCCTCCTCCTCCTCCTCCTCCACCTCCACCTCCACCTCCTCCTCCTCATCATCATAATCCTCATCATCATCCTCACCATCAGCATCGTCATCATCATCATCATCATCATCGCCACCATCACCATCACCATCACCATCACCATCATCGCCATCATCATCATCCTCATCGGCATCATCTTCGTCAAAATCCGCATCAGTATCATCATCGTCATCATCATCATCATCATCATCATCATCACCGGCATTGTTATCATCAGCATCATGATCAGCAGCATTTTCGTCATCAAATCATAATCAGCAGCATTTCCACCATCATCATCGACAACATCATCATAATTATCGGCATCATTACCAGCATCATCATCATCATCACCATCAACAACATCATCATCAGCATCATCATCACCATCGTCATCAGCGTCAGCATCGTCGACGTCATAAGTATCATCATCATCAACAACAGCAACACCACCACAACCACCACCATCATCATCATCGTCATCATCAACAACAAGAACAACATCAGCACCATCATCATCGTCATCAATATCATCATCCTCATCATCAGCATCATCATCACCATCACCATCATCATCACCATCACCATCAGCATCATCGCCATCATCATTGTCATCATCATCTCCATCAGCATCCACATCAGCATCATCTTCATCATCACTGGCATTACCATCATCAGCAGCAGAAGCATCACCATCATCGTCATCATAATCATAATCAGCTGCATATCTGTCACCATCGTCATCATCAGCGCCATCATCGTCATCATCATCATCGTCATCATTATCATCCGTATCATCACGAAGATGACGAAAAGACAACGTGGTCGACGTCTTGACGAGCGTTCTTGCCCCTCTGCTTCACCTTCCGCGAAGGATGCTCCCTCCTCCCCATACTTCCCCCACGGGAATGGAGGACGGGCGAGGGCCCGAGGATCGTAGCGCCCACAGAGTCCCCGAGAGGCTCCAAAGGGCAATCACATTCGTCCACGATAGAGACCCAAGGTGCCACAACGTAGCCCAACAGCGCCCAGGAAGGCCCAAAACGGCTCCGAAGGGCCAACAGATCGTCCAAGAAACCACGGAAGATGCCACAACGCAGCCCGATAGCTCTAAAACTAAAAGATACCTCCCAGCACATCTCCAGCAGGCCCGCGAGCCGCCCAAAAATCGCTCCAGATGCCCACGGAGCCTCTCACGGACACACCCGAGACGTCATCTTCAAATATGATACGCAATAAAGCGCAATGTAGCCCAACAGGCCAGACCAACCGGTCAACGGGTCGCCCGCCAACAAGCTACCCAGTCACACACCCCAATCACCGAACCAGCCCAGAGAAACACGTCCACTACCAACCTGCAAACCAGCGCACGAACCAGCCTGAAAACACGCCAGCCAGCCAAACGTGGTGGCGGTTCTGCAACAAACAGGAGCGCCCCAGATCGGCGGCACAGGCCAGAGCTTACTACAATACTTATGTATGTATGTGTGTGTCGGCATGTATGTATGTATGTAGGTAGGTAGGTAGGTACGTATGTATGTGTGTATGTATGTATGCATGCATGCATGCATGCATGCATGCATGCATGTATGTATGTGTGTATGTGTATGTGTGTATGTGTGTATGTGTGTTTGTATGCTGTATGTTGTACGTTGTATGTATGAATGGATGGATGGATGGATGTGCGTGTGTGTGTGTGTCCGTCGCTGCGCTGCCCGCCCCCAAAACAGGCTGGGCCTGTTCCCCCCGCCAGGCGCTGCCGCCCCCTGGCTGCTGCGCCCCCTCGGCTGCGTTGCGGCTGCCGCCCCGCTGCCCCGGCGCTGCCCCTGCTGCGGCCTGGCCCCGCCCTGAGCGGGCCCAGTCTCCCCTCCGTCCTGCCCGTGCCGAGCTTCCTCCTGTATGCCCTACCCATGCCCTGTCCGCCAGCGCAGTGACTCTGCCTAGCCGCCGACGCAAAAAGTATGTATGTGTCTGTATGTCTGTCTGTCTGTCTGTCTGTCTGTCTGTCTGTCTGTCTGTCTGTCTGTCTGTCTGCCTGTCTATCTGTCTGTCTGTCTGTCTGTCTGTCTGTCTGTCTGTCTGTCTGTCTGTCTGTCTGTCTGTCTGTACATATGCATGCATGCATGCATGCATGCATGCATGCATGCATGTATGTATGTATGGATGCATGCATGCATGTATGCATGCATGTATGTATGTTGGTATGTGTGTATGCATGCATGTATGTATGTATGCATGCATGCATGTATGCATGTATGTATGCATGCATGCATGTATGTTTGTATGTATGTATGCATGCATGCATGCATGCATGGATGGACGGATGGATGTAGGTAGGTAGGTAGATAGGTAGGTAGGTATGTGTGTATGTATGTATGGATGGATGGATGGATGCATGGATGGATGGATGGATGGATGGATGGATGGATGGATGGATGGATGGATGGATGTATACGAATGTGGAGCAACGGCAGCGATACAAACAACCAACACTGGCTGAATACATCCAGCTCTATGGCCCATACCATCCCTTCACCCCTGCAAGGACTCGAGTTGGGCGTACCTGGTGGTGCACTGCGGCCAGACGCAGGTCTCGGCGTCAACAGGCGCTGCGCGGGACGCGTGGGAAGCAGTGAGCGTGACGAAGCAATAGGCGTAACAGCACAGTTGCACGCAACATCCACGCTGTGGCATGCGAACACTGGGAGCCAGCGGTAAGTTGTCAAGGCCGCCACCAGCGAAAACTGTTCGGACGGCCAGTGCAGACCCGACCGTGAGACTGCCGCGAGTCCCGATTCGCTCCCTCTGTTCCCCTCCCTCACCCTGTCCTCCTTTCCCGCCTCACCCTCCCCAAGGGCTCCTAAGTGTAGGTCGGGCATGTCCTCCTACAGGCGAACTTTGGACGACAAAAAAAAATTAATCAAAGAATGCTCGAAAATAAGCAAACATCGTGGAAAAATCGTCCCCAGACCATCTTTTAACTATTCTTCAGTGTTCCTCCTGTAGAGGAACGTGCCCGACTTAATCCCAAGTTCGCGCCTCGCGCCGAGCGAAGCGTGGACTTAGGTCGCGCCCTAGCGCCACCCCCCACCCCCCGCCGCAGGGGGGCAGAAGAGGACGAACGAAAACGAGGACGGGGAGACAATGAACGAAAAGGAGGACAAGGACGAGGACGAACGAACGAGGACGAGGACGGGGACGAGGACGAGGACGAGGGCAGAAGAGGACGAACGAAAACGAGGACGAGGACGAGGACGAACGAAAACGAGCACGAGGGCGAAACGAAAACGAAAACGAGGATGAGGAGAGCGGACCGCGAACCGCGAAGGGCGAATATCTGCGCGCCCTCGCGGGCGACGTCCCTCCCCCCCTGCCTCCTGCTCTTGCCCATCCTCCCCCCCCCCTCCCCCCCCTCCCCCTCCACCGGATTATTGTCCTCATCTGCCCCTCTCGAGCCCTCACACTCACACACCCCTTTCACCTGCTAGCCCCGCCAGGCACGCGTGCGATTGCGATTGCGGACTCTGCAGCCACGCCGGAAAGTCGGTGCACACATTGTCCCTGCGCCTCCTCACGCCAAAGAAGAAGAGAAAGAGCAGGATAAAACGGAATGCGAACATAATGATGAGCGGGGGCAACAGACAGGAAGTCGAGGGAGACGAGCGAAGGGGATGAGGGGGGGAGGCAGGGAAGAGAAAGAAAGACGAGAGGGGTGAAGAGGAAGAGCTGAAAAGAGGGGAAGAATGAAGAGGGAGAGACGGGGGAAGAAAGGCAGGGCGGCGGGAGGAGGGAGAGCCCACCACGGCGCGAACGATCTCGCCTGCCCCGCGCAAGACGCGGCTCGGCCCCACCTCCTCGCCCGAAGGCCGGCCAAGACAAAACATCATCATCCCGTCATGGACGTTACTTCGGCTGCGACAGAGAGAAACGGCCCAGGAGACCTCCATGTGGTCCATGACTGCGCCCACCCACTCGGTTCGAACGCAACCACGTGATCGGCTGGGGCACATGGCGGGCCAAAGGACGCTGCCGGCCACGGTGGCCCGCGGGAGGGGGGGGGGCGAGCGCCAGCGGTGCTCGGCCGCACAGGCGCCGGGCCCGCGAGGAGGAGAGGGAGGAGGGGGGTTCGTTTTTTTGTTGTTTCTCGCTTCTCCTCGTCGCCCTGCTGAGCTCGTCTCGCTGTGCCAGGGGTCGTGCTCTCGGGGAGGCCTCTTCGAGGGCGGACGTGTCCCTTGCCCTCGCCCCCCCCACCCACCCCCTGGCGGCCACCTACGCTCTCTCTCTCTCTCTCTCTTTCCTGCTCCTGCTCTGCACCTCCCCTACTGCTCTTTCTCTTTCTCGTTTTCTCTCTCTCTCTCTCTCTTGCTCCTCCTCTGCCCCTTCCCCCTTGAAGGATCTCCTGGAATAGCTTGTCCTGCTGTCGGGGTCTGGGGGTGCCTTGTCGCGGCTGCTCTGGCCAACTCACGTTTGGACACATCGAAGCCTTCCTCTGATGTGGTACAACGGGAGGGGGGGAGGAGAAGAAGGAGGAGGTAGAGGAGAAGGAAGGAGGCAGAGGAGGAGGAGGAGGAGGAGGAGGAGGAGGCGGAGGAGGAGAGAGGAGGAGGAGGAGGAGGAGGAGGAGGAGGAAGAGGAGGAGGAGGTGGTGGAGGAAGAGGAGAAGGAGCAGGGAAGAGGAGGCGGAGGAGAAGAAGCAATAGCAGGAGGAGGAGAAAGAGGAGAAGAGGGGAGGAGGAAGAGGAGGACGAGGAAGAGGAGGACGAGGAGCAGGAGACAACACCATCAGCGGCTCGGCCCAAACGACCAAGCGACGGACTCCTCAGCGGCCTCGGCGGCCACCAGCGGCGACAGTGACCTCGCTCGCAGCAGCAGCGGGGCCGCTTCTAGGCAGGAGCCAAGGAGGTCTTGGGTGTCTCCAGACAGCGGCCCGTCGACTGGAAAACAAACCGACTGCAGCACAGCAGTTTGCAGTAGAGAACTAGCTTTTCCACTAGGGCTCACACTATAGCTCCGATCTCGACGCCCTCGTAGTTTCAAACCGGTACCGTTTCCCATTACGAATGCGTCACCTACAACTTCGAGCTGAGTCTGGTCCACCCAAGGACAACACCTGTCCAGGATTCTAACCACTCCCGCCCTCACACTATAGGTTCCTGAACACTCCCACCCTAAGCCTGCGGCCACGCCACAAGATTCCCACCGTCTTAGCCCACCGTAGTCCTGAACGTGAGACGGGTCCATGGGACACAGGACGTTCACCATTTCAGCTAGCACTAGCCGATGGGGCGCGGAGCAGGACGGTGCTTCAGCAGCAATGAAGTGTAAGGCTTTACTTCCCTCACTCTAATCGGCACCCTTCCTCCTCCTCCTCCTCCTCCTCCTCCTCCTCCTCCTCCTCCTGCTCCTCCTCCTCCTCCTCCTCCTCCTGCTCCTCCTCCTCCTCCTCCTCCTCCTCCTCCTCCTCCTCCTCCCCACCTCCTCCCAACCCCCATCGCGCCCTTCCTCCATTCCAACCTGCAAGCATGGCGCTCGACCCTCGGGGATCGAGGACTGGTATTTTTAGACCGTTCCTTTGAATGCTCGGCGGTCTTGGCCTTATCAGGGCCTCCAGGAGCTCGGGGGGCATCTGGGGAAACACCCCGGGTCAGGATCTGAGGCGAAAGAACAGCTCACCATCCCCCCTCCCACTGAGTCTCCTCCTCCTCCTCCTCCTCCTCCTCCTCCTGCTCCTCCTCCTCCTACTCCTCCTCCTCATCCTCCTCATCCTCTTCCTCCTCCTCCTCCTACTCCTCCTCCTCCTGCCAAAGTGAAGCCATCCCTCCTCGTCTTCCTCCTCCTCCCTCATGATTGCCCGCGCCCATGGGTCCCTAGTGGGCCAACTTCGGCTGACGCCTCCACTGGAGGCGGCACCCGCCCGGCAGTTGCGAGCTCGACTCGCGCCTTCGAGGACGACCGAGCCGAACCTCCTCCTCGAGCCCCCGAAGAGGGCCTTCCGAGCTGCTGCTGCTGCTGCTGCTGCTGCTTCCCGTGGCCAGCGTGGCTGGCGCTGCTCCCGCGGCCAGCGCGGCGAGGACTCGCCTCATGGCGCCTCGCAGGGGCTTCCTCGGACGGGGAGGGGCGCGCGGGAGGAACGAACGAGCGAACCACCAGTGCGGACAAGGGTCCGGGCCTCGTGAGAGCAGGTTGGCGAGGCCTAGCCTCGAAATGCGGTAGTGTATGTGTGTGTTTGCTGCGGTTCCTGTCCAAGGCGTACCTTTTCCTGCACATCCACTTCGGCTCCGCCTGTTCCCCGGGCCCCGCCCGCTCCTGGCCGCCTGAGGCCCCGCCTTCCTGTGCCCTGTCTCCCTAATCAAAGCTGTGCGTAGCCCGCCTAGCTTTCAGCGGAAGAGGTTCGCTCTCGCCCCGCAGATCAAAAAGTGTGCGCTTGCTGAGGCATGCGCGCGAGACATGCAGGGCGCGTCGGAAGGAGGAATGAGGGGGCATCGATAGGGGGACCAGCTCAGAGGGGTAAGCATCGAGCTGGAATGAGCGATGCGTCGCCGGTAGATCGGCGACGGGCCCCCGATGGCGGATCCGAACGTTCCTAGGCGGGGCGGGCTATCGGGTCCCATGTCGACAATGAATGGGCGATTTGGGGTCGATGCATCCCCCCTCAGCCTATCCCCCCCTATCGTTGCCCCTGGGGGGAGGAGAACAATGAAAGGACAACACACACACACACTCAAACCTGTAGGGAGGAGTACCGAAAAGGGCCAGGCGATTCAGGCGCTGTGGGCTATGGGTGCGAGTGGTCTGACCCCTAGGGGGGCTCCGGTTCAAGCGGGGACCTCGAACCAACAGCAAAGCCCCATACAGCCTCCCCCAGATTCCACCCCGAGAAACCGGGGGGTCGCCTAGGTAGGGGTACTGGGATGTAGCTCGCTCTTTGTGCTGGAAGAACTTCAAATCACCCCCCAAAGCAAAACGAATTTCGGGAATCTCAGCAATGCCTCCCCAGTTTCGGTCGCTGGAGTCGCCGAAAAAACTGTTGAACAACACTTGACGGACTAGAAACAAGAGGCGCATGGGACACAGCAGGAACCACTAGGACGATCCGCTCCCCTTGGAGGCGTACGTCCGAACCTGACACCCGGCACAGAGCACAAACGCGGTACAACGTATCGTACCCGGGCGGGATGGCCAGAAAGCGCCTGCCACCGAGAACATACTGCAAGACTTTTGAACGCTCGCGTCGCCCCGGGGGGGCCGATGCACACATCGCATGCGTTAATTTGGGTGATGCCGAAACTATGCATAGGCAGCGATCCTGGCCAGGCCTGTCCTTCTCTGGCCAGGATAAGCGCATGTGGAGAGACGTCGAGGTGTCACATGGCACGGGCATAAGAAATCGCAAAGCTCGCTTGCACTTCCCCCGCATACCTCCGATGCCTTGACTTTTTCAAGACGGTCCCCGAAGCCCCGAACACCTCTTCAGAGTCGCTTGTTCCTTCTAGAGCGTTCTTTTGACGACCCCAGAACCGAGAAACCTCCAGAAGCTGAAAGCGACGAAATAGTCCTCTGGTGGTCTGTCGGGCGACGAAAAATGTGCACATACGCCTATCCTGGCCAGGGGCATCCTGAGCCCAGGATCGGTGCACATGCTTCCCTTGCTCAGCCACGAGGGCGCGCCGGAGCTGTTTCGCCCGAAAGAGCTCGTGAATATGACTGGGGTCGAGAATGATGGCTGCAACAACGGCTGCGACGCGAACACGAAAAATAATGATATGGGCACGCCAATAAAATGACAAGACTGACGGTTGACGGTTCTGAACACAAACACACATGATCTGCGCAAGTACAAACTCGAGCACCCTGTCGCCCAGAAGACTCACCTCCCTGGGGCTATCCTTGGCACTTGCTCCTCCACGTCACTTCCTTTCTTCCTTCTTTCACTGTTGCGCTCTCTGTGACGAGCCTTGGCCTCTTGTGTCGACATCGCTCCCTCTCTCTGAGAACCTCTGCTGGACTGTTCGAACATCGCCCACTAATTAAAATAAATGACAGTTTGCAGCGTGCTGCCACCTCTGCCGCGCGCATCACGCTGGCAACAGCATTGAGCCAAAAACACTGCTGAAAAAATGCAGCATGGCGTGACCACTTTCCAACCAAGCAACCCCACGAAAGCTGGCAACGACCACAAGCCCCCACAATGCCGACAATTGGCACAAACCATGCGCGTGTCATATGCCGCCTCAACCGATCCTTCCGACCTGGATTACACAAGCAAATGGCAGACATCTTCTGTTTGACGTCGCCAACGTATCATGCCAAGTTGGATTTCGAACTAACCTGGACTAAAAGAACGGGTAGGGAACAGCCTCAAGACATAAACAAAAGAATCGGCAACTGCCGACGAGGCTTTCACAACCACTAGGACGACTCGGAAAATCCAAAGCCGCCCCAAAAAGCAGCGCTTCGTTCGCTATAGTAGCAGCCTGGGGCAGAAGACTAAAACTACTACGTACGCCCGCCTACAGCTGCCGAAATCCACAAGAATTGATTCCTGTTATCGATGGTGCGGTGGGCCCCAGCGGTAACCCAATCACCCCGGCACCGCCAATGCACAAATAGAGTGTGCTGGCGGGCAGCCGGAAAACGATCACGAATCGCAGCGTTTTGACTTGATCGGGATCAGGGAAAGCCTTCTCATCTTGATGAGCTAGCTGGACATGGGCGGACACCATCTAGACACAATAAGCCCCCAGCGCATACTGGAACATACGCATGCAAACGCAACTCTTCATCGCGATAATGACACATGATCGGGCGGACATTGTGTTAGACGTCAGGGTTGATTGAAACTTCCAGAGACTTCAGAACCTCACTTAGTAACCGAATACTGTTTCCACACGATCACCACTCGTCAACACAGGCATCGGGAACAGTTGGCCGACTAGCCAGAGAGCGCCGCGGAGCTACTACGCAGTTTCTGCACACTGGGGGTCACCGGATTTACGCGCAATGGCGGACGCGAAAACCCAAATGCGAAGACTTTCCTGGGCCCTCTCGGGTCCGTCTTGGACCCTCGCGATGTGGATGACCTTGCACTGGAATCAGGGCCGACCCCAAACTTTCCAGCAAAAGGCGGCTTCTCTGGCATTCTAACACGATGCCTTCAGGCGACGTCATTATTTTCCTCTTGTATTTCTCTTCCTCGTACACATTTCCTCCGCGCCGCGCCCCGAAGCCCGTCGAAAGGGCGGGCCGGGCGTTTCGCCTAAGACTTCCTCACCATTCACGACCCTGAAACTCGAAATCTGGCAACAGTTTCACAAATAGAGAGCTGGTGGTTTCCAAACAGTGACTCTCGCATTAGCGCCGCGCGCATTCGTTTTAATTTGCAAGAGTTTCACACATGGAGGGCGGGTGGTTTCCAAAATGTGGCTCTCGCCTTAGCGCCTCGCGCATTCGTCACAAAAAAATTGCAAAAGGTGTCACGGATGAGGGGCGTATCGGTTTCAAACTGTGGTTGTCGCCCTACCGTCGTGCATTTTCATTTCAATAAATTGCACACGCGTCACGGTTGGAGGGCAGGTGGTTTTCACAACGGTACCTCCCTAGCGCCGCGCACACAATCGTCTTAGAAAAGTGCAAGATCTTCACGGATGGAGGGCAGGTTGTTTTTAAAATGTGGTTTTCGCCTTAGCGCCGCGGAAAACCTTCTTGAAAAACTTGCAGGAGTTTCACGGATGGAGGGCGGATCGTTTTCAAAATGTGGCTATCGCCTTAGCGCCCCGTACCTTCTCTCTAAACATTTGCAAGGAGGTTCAAGGATTCCCGCGGTCAACGTACTAGAAAAGGCATTCTGGAACGACTCAGGACTGTCAGGGCGCAACAGTTACATTGATTCGCGGTGTTGAAGTCCCAAAAATGGTGTTCTGGCACGATTCAGGATCGTCCAGACGTAACAGCCATGTGGACTCGTGGCGGTAACGTCCCGAGAACCCTGTCTTGGCACGCTCCAGGGTCTTCGAACGGTTGTCTCCCAACGGAGCAATTCCCCAGTGCAAATGAATCTCTGTAGGGGCTTATGAAGAGAAAGTTTGGAGAGAGAGAGAGTCTTGGGTTTACACTGGTCCCCTTTTCCTCTTTCTCCTCCTGATCCTGCTCCGTACTATGATCCTTTTCCCGCTCATTTTCCTCTGCCCCGCGTCCACCCGACCTGCGAGATACTGTTCGGTGCTCTGCCGCATCCAGCCAGGGCGCGATCAATTCAAGCACAAACTATGCGGCGGACGTGCTTTACCTCCTCCTCCCCTCTTCTTGCCCTCCTTCTCTCCCCCTCCTCTCTCACTGTCCTCCCTCTTTGTTCCTGCCTCCCTCCTCCTCCCCCTGGGGAAAGACGAAAGGCACGAGGAGCAGCAGCAGAAGGCAAAGGCAGCAGCAAGGGGCACGGGAGCAGCAGAGGAAAAGGCAGCCCCCCCAAAAAGTGGGAGCCGGAGGGGAGACGGGGAGCAGCAAAGGGCCCGGAGAAGCAACGGAGGACGCGGGAGCAGCAGGGCCCGCGGGAACGATGACCTGCGGGAAGGGGAGCGACGGAGGGCACGGGAGAAGCAACGGCCACGGGAGAAGCAGACCACACGGGAACAGCGGCAAAAAGAGCGCGGAAACAACGAACCAGCGCGGGAACACACGGAAACCGCAGAGGTACGGAGAACAGAACGGAAGATGGCAACCAACAGGCAGTGCACGGGAGCACCAAAACTCACGGAATCTGCAAGAATCCATTCTTGCATGATTCGCCCCGCCCCCCCCCTACCCCCCGTGGTCACGCCACGATTCGCGCCAGCGCCGTTTGGGATCGAGCCACTCTTCAAAATGCCCATGGACGGCGCCGGTACGAATCGAGACGTGACTGGCCCCCTTCCACCCCCGCTGCCCCCCAGTCGCGCCCGTCATCGGCGGGGGATACAAACGGCATCCAAAGAACACGGGGACGCAAAAGCCATGGAACAGCACAAGACACGAGAACATGCGGGAAAAGCAGACAAACGAATGCCGACAAAAGCCACGGGGGCAATACAAAAAATGCACATGGAAAACAAGACACCAGAAAAAGTCAGAAGGAACAGTAAGAGCAGAACACACTGCAGCAACAAAAGATACAAAAGCTAAAAGAAAATCGAGAACAACAAAAGGCACGGCAAACAATGGGAAACGAAAACATCAAAAACACGGGACCAACCGAAACACAAGTACAGCAAAACGAACTGGAACACGAAGACACATGGCAACAAAGAAACGAAAGGCATCGATGCTCGATTGCTTTTTATGATATTACAAGCGAAACGTGTTGCGCAGGGACAATCCGTGACGCTTGCTCGCACAAGTGCATTTCCTGGATGTTTCCGTGCTCGCCCAATTTGCCGCCTGGGCGTGACCATTGTTTGTTTCGTGCTCAAACACACCAAACAAAAAAAAAAAAATCACAAACTGGCGCGCACAACAAACGCGCGAAGCACGCATCCTGCGCCCCACGCAGGGCGGCCCGAAAAATACGAAAACAAAACATGGAAAAAAGAAGAAACGAACAAAACGACCAGAAAAACGGACGAACCAACGAATAATGAGGCAACAAACAAAACGGCGAAAAAACAAGAAGTAAAGAGGAAAACACGGACCCAAGTGAAACGATAAGAAAATAAGCAAAGAGAAAAAACCTGATGGAAGAGTAGGCCTCCAAGATGATTTCAGAGCCAAAATAACACCAAGAAAATCCTGAAAAGCCTATGACAAATCGAAAAACTCCCAAGACGGCCTCAAGACAGCCGCAGAAGCCCCGGGGACAACCTAAAAGGGCTCCAAAAGGCCCCTTAGCCGAAGTGACAAAAACCATGAACTTTCCTCCGGTTGTTGAATGATTCTGGAAATGTCGCCCGCTGCTGCTTCCGACCGCCCAAGACGGCCTAGGCGGCCTCCAAGATGGGCCCCACGTCGGTCCGAGAGAATCCCGACATCGCCAAAGAGTCTCGCAAGCTGGCCCCGCAAGCCCCACCCCAAAAGGGCACCGAGGACGGCCCACAAAGCCCCAACGGCGGCATCGAAAGGCGCCAAATGGGCCTGGCTCGGCCCAAAGCGCTCAGGGGGCCCCCGGAAGGCCTCCGAGGAGGCGGGAAAAATTGCCCTCCGACTATCACACGTGGGCTCAAAACAGCGGGAAAGTGCCCTGAGAGCCCCTAAGGCGGCCTCCCAAAGCCGGGCCGGCCAAGAACCCCTAAGACAGCCCAACATGCCTTTAAAGGCTCCCAAGACGCCCCACGAGCCATCCGAGGAGGCAAAAAAACATGTAGTTTCTGCCGCGGTTCTGACTGCTTCACAATAGCTTGGATCGGCGCCGCTTCTGGGCTGTAACTTTGAACGAATTCTGCGATGCACTGAAGCTGGTCTGAAAACAAACTCTAGATCTATGTGTATATAATGCCAATACTTATCGTAGCATGTACCTCATTGCCCATCTTTCTAAAATCGCGAAACTCCGTATTGGAACGCTACTCATACGCCCAGAACGTAGTGGTGCGCCTCTCGTTTATTGGCGTCGCCCTTTGCTGTACCTTCTGATGATGATGATGATGATGATGACAATGATGATGACGATGATGATGATGATGATCACGATGACGACGATAATGATGAAAGATTTCGGTTGCATGAACACTTCTGCGCTCGATGTGTGTACAAGCCGAGTTTCTTGATCGTAGGCCGTTGGTACTTGAGCGCAGGTGCCAACCTTCGTGACACGACTGAGACAAGGCTCATCAATTGCATTCGTTGCTACAAAAGGAACATGCAGAATCGCCATCGGCCAAAATTCAACTAAACTCGAAATGAAGATGTCGCGAAAATGCCGTTCACATGCGCGGCCCTGGAGCTTCTTGGCATTTGAACAAGCTTTTATACATTCGACGGTTCCACGCCATGCCAGTCGGGCTAAGACACACTCTTGCACAACACTTGCGCTGAAACACACGCATCCTCGACGTGGCTCCTCCCCTGACGCTCTTCAGCTGGACGCAATAACTCGTCATCCTTGCCAGGCACCCTGAAGTCGAACTGCAGCTTCGGTTCGGGCCTG